TCTTTTTTCTTATAAAAGTCTAAATAAAACAAAAATATTGGTGGTAATTTTTGACTGTGTAACTTTACAAACGACACCTCATAATTTTCACTCAACTTTCTGTTTTATGTTGAAACTTGTGTTTCAGTGGTTGAATAACTTAAAAAMATCTCGGAGGACCATCATTTCAGTTTCTCATTTACTGTTTTGTTTCTGCATGTGTCGGCTCCCCTGATGTCTCAGTCGGTGTTTGTGTCTCTGAGGGGGAGTATGTGTGTGTGCATGTCCTGTGTGTGTGTTTGTGTGTGTGTGTGCGTGTGTGTGTGTCTGACTTGTGTTCCTCTCCTCTCTGCAGTCATTCTCCCTGCATCTGGTTTTGATAAGGACCAGCAGTGTGGAGGTAAGTGGATTAACAGCTGCCTGAGCTTGGCCTGTGTGCATGCTGCAGTTTGTGTTGTCCCTACGTGTTTCCACACATGTCTGGAACACAAAGTCTGTTTTCACGCATCAAATGTGCATTTCCACGTTTGTTATTCACACTGTGCAGAATTCCAACAACTGGACAGAGAAAAAAAAGATTTTTTTTTTGTTTCATATAAGCAGGAAATTGCCAACATGTTTGGCTGGAAGTGAAACAAGTTTGTTTTGTTGTTTGTGAAGGCTGAGCTCAGCACAAAATGCAGAAAACTTTTATTTTTGTAAAAACAAACACTGGTTATGCAATTCTTAAACTGAATTTGTTGATGCAGTTTTTCTTTTGACAGATGTCTGCTCAGAAAACAGCAGCAGATGTCTGAAAGCATCAATATTGCTGTTTGATTTAAAGCTAAAAGAGCTGAATTCAACAGACCGACACATGGTTTTTACTCTCCTGTGCACTAATATTAATAATTTCTACAGAGAATAAATCTTTATGAAATTCACTCAGAAAATTAACTCCAAAAGCACAACCAGCATTTATCATGGGTCTGAACGAGGGTTCATAAAAACCTTTGTTGGGATTTATTTTATTTTTTACTTTATGGAAGATAATGTCATGTAGGATGACCTTTTTCCAGCTTAAGGACTCATAAATTGAATTCAGTTCTTATTTAATGTCATAAACTGAACATAATTTCAAGCATGAATTTTCCAATGAAGCCTAAAACCTCACCTGCGATTCCTCTGTTTTGATGGAAAATGACCACTTAGAGCTCCAAAACAAGTCGAACACATGATTACTATCTTATTTACTGTGGTGGAACTAATACTTTTATGTTTAAGCAAGTAATTCATGACATCCTTTAATGACCTAGGTTTTCATGACATGCTGTTCATCTGCAGACAGAATGATTAAAGTCAGAACAAGATCTGCTAACAACAGTCATTCTTAGATATCACTTGTGTTTATCTTTGTGTTTTCCATTGACCTTGTATCAAATCTTGCTAAGATGACATAATGGTGTTTGTTTATATGTATGTATGTATGTATGTATGTATGTATGTATGTATGTATGT